TCTATTTACTGCAAATTGTAAGGCTGCCAATTTTGTGTAGGATCTGAAGAAATGGCTCAGCAGCAAATCTGGACTGCAAAGCAGGCAGCTCTGTTCCTTGGGTCTTATGACTCAGCAAATTTGTACTATTAATATATATAATAATAAAAAGAGAAACGTGGGAAAAGCTTCAAATCATCCCAAGTCTGATTGTCTACTTTGGAAGAAGAAGAAATAAACCAACACACTAATCTCCAGCAGCCCATGTACATAGACTAAGTTGGCTGATTGCTGAAGAATGTGAAAACAACAAGATAGGAAGCTGGTGATAAGGGACCCAGGGAAGAAATATTTGCATGATCTCTAGAATGGGTCACACTGTGAACATATTTTTGTCCCTCAAAGGGCATCTGTTGCAGAGGAGGCTCCCAGGGATACAATGACCTATTCTGAAGATATCAGTCAATCTGTTTGCTTAGATACCCTAGTGCTTGCTCAGTAAGTGCATGAATAAATGCCTGGGACACTGAGGGTGGGCCTATGTGTGGACTCAACAGCAGAGATTTTCGTTCACTGAAGCTGATCTGTCTGCTACTACTGTTGAATGAGCAATCTGCTTATCAGCAGACAGCAAACACTGAAGTATCAGAATGGCTCCATTCTTCAAGAGGACTATCTGGTTAGAGGTTGGTTATACTAGAACCCTTCCATTAGGTAGTAGGCTCTGAATGTCTTCACAGGAAGAGAGATATATATTTTGACTGTGGATTTGCTTTCCATGTTAGTAATGCTTCTACCAGTGCCATCCTGTGGACTCAGAATACTTTATTCATTACCATGGTAATTCCGCCTAATGATGCTATTAGCAAAGGAATTCATTTTCAGGATGAAGGAATTGTGGTGATAAGCTACTTCCCATAGAATTATAGCAGCCAGCAAGTTTAGGGTACTTTCCTACAGATTCTTGTATATACTTTAAATCACTGACCAATATACCTCATTATTCCCTTTGTGTCCAGAATGTATGGGTTCAAGATTCAAGGTGGTAGAGTGAGCCCTTAAAAAAAGATTTATTTGGTACAAACTGTGTATCATGGCTAGCCTGGAACTCACTATGAGGGCCAGGCTGGGCTCGAACTCACAGAGCCCTGCCTGCCTTTGCCTCTCCAGTTCTGAATTTAAAGGCGTGTGCCACCACATCCAGCTTTTTTATAAAAATTTTTTTTTAAATTATGTGTATGTGTATGGGTGGGTGGATATATGCACATACCCATGCAGGTGCCCATGGAGACTGTAAGAGAGCACTACCTACAGCTGGAGTTGCAGGTTGTGAGCAGCCCAATGTGGGTGCTGGGAACCAACCTCAGGTTCTCTGAAGAGCAGTATGCACACTTAAATGCCGATCTACCTCTCCAGCCTCATAAACTGATCCTTCTTTGCAAAGAAAGATTTACTTTCCATCCTTACACCTGGGATTCAGTGAGTTAGAAGGTTCTAGCAACAAAGGGGAAATGCAACTACCAGGGAAACATCAGGAATGTAGTATTTTAGACACTGGCCATGTGTTGTAATGGTCAATTTTTTTTTTTTTTTTGAGACAGAGTCTCATAAAACCCAGACTAGCCTCAAAGTCACTGCATAGCTGAGGATGACTTTCAAATCCTGATCCTTTGGTTTCCACCTCCTGTAGTGCTGAGATTAGAGATGTGCGCCACCATGCCTGGCTTGAGTGTTGCTGGGGACTGAATCCAGGGCTCTCTGCATGTTAGGCAATCACTCTATAATCTGAGCTACATCTTGAACTCTAGAACTTTTTTGAGACAGGATCTCACTCTGGAACTGGAACTCACTGTACACACCAGGATAGCCTTGATTTCATATCAATCTGCCCCTTTGAGTCTCTTGAGGTCTGTAATTTCAAGTGTCAGCTACCACACTAGGCTTTTGTGTTTGGAACTTTTAAAGTTGGACTCTTAGTTTTTCAATTCCCAATCTTATTTTTGTTTTTTAATTTAAAAATATTTTATTAGTATTGATTTCTTTAGGAAGTAGCATGATTACATTGAAAGACTGTATAGGTTACAGAATTTGGAAAGGGAGTGAATGGCAAACTCACATTATAGGAACAGTGACAAATTTCATGCTATTGTTGAAAACTGATAGTAGAGTTTTGTCAGTAAACAATATCAAAAAGTTATAGTAGATATACAGAACTTTGACTTTATATTCTAACATACAATTACATATTTTTAGTTTGAGGATTATATCAGTTTAGTTATTGCAGTACTTTCTATTTTGTTCTCTTTTTTTAACTTCCCAGCCTGTGAATTTTAACTCTAGAAGTTTAATTAGGGCATAGGTGAAGGCAAACTGGGGCTGTAGAAGAGTAATAGACAAATGATGGAAAATCTCTTGGTGCATGGTAATGGGAGTGGTTCAGTATCAAAGCCTGGATACCCAGGACCACGTGTGGAATGAGAATCACAGTTGGACTTCACGAGAAGTGGAAGGTCCATTCTAGAGAGTCAGTCAAGACACCAGAAACTATACATAACAGAAGCCTCCTCTGTCCCCAATAAAAGAGATGAAACAGTGCACAACCTGGGACCTCAGGGGAGGGGGCTGTGGGGACTGTAGTGATTCAGAGAAGACTGAAACTGCTTCCCAACATCAGGAAGTCCTCCATGCTCTACTCTGCACCACAATCAGGTTACTGCCAGAGGGATGTGAAACTGTGCCTCACAGTAGGGATCAGAAGCTTCTGGCTCATGTGGTCAGACCACAGCTATAGCTCACAAGAGGGGAGCACAGCTCCAGGGAGGGGACCACAGTGCCAGGGTCACAGGAGGAGACCACAGCTTCAGATTCACCAGAGGGGACCACAATTCTAGTTCACAGGAGAGGCCCAATCTTATTTTCCTTAAGTGCACAATTTTCTTTCTTTCTTTTTTTTTAAAAAAACAATTAGCATTTAAAGGTTTTTTTAAATATTATTTTTATTTTATGTGTACAAGTGTATTGCCTGCATGTGTGTGAGTGCACCTGTGTCCTACAATGCTTCAGAGGTCAGAAGAGGGCATTGGATTCCCCTGGAACTGGAGTTAAGGATGGTTCTTAGTTGCCATGTGGGTGATAGGAATCAACCGGGGTCCTCTGCAAGAGCAATCAGTGCTCTCGCTGAGCCATTTCTCCAGCCCCCACAAATTTCTTTTAAAATCTCACTTTAGCTGCAACCTAAAAGTTTTGCACTAGTTGTTATGTCAAAATAATTTCAATATTTTTGATGCTATTTTATTTTTTATACAAATTTTCCTATGAGCTGTGCTTTATTTCAAAGTATGTTTTTAAAATAAAAAAATGAGCATTTTCTTTATAATTTTATTATTGATTCTCAATTTAGTTGTATTGAGGTCAGAAAATGTGATTTCTATTGAGGTCAGAAAATGTGAGTTGACTAAGAGTGATTCTTTGAAATTTGC